CACTCCTGGCTGAACCGTCCATGCCTTGTAGGCATCATCGGCTCTATTTTTGATATTCGTGATAATCATGACGAATTACTCTCCCCCACCTTGGCATCACATTCTTGTTGATGTTGGTCCCAAACCTAATTGTGACCATTTTCCCTCGACTCCCCTTGACACTCTCCTCTCTCCGATTCATAGGAGGAGGCGATTGATTTAGCCGAAGAGGGCAGCACCGCCAGACTCGACGGCCTCGATCTCCTCTAGCTCGATGGGTGCCCGGCGGAAGCGGGCGGGGAGCTCGGAAGTGTCGAAGTACATGCCCGCAGGTGCGGTCACGGAGCCCAGGGCAGAGCCAGAAGTTCCGCCGACGCCGTTGGCCTCAGAGTAGCGGATGCTCTTCTGGAGAGGACCGTGCTGCTGGGCATGGTCGCGGTAAGAGCTGAAGGAGGAGTGGCGGGAGGGGGAGTTGGAGACGAAGGAGGCGGGGAGCTTGCCGTCGGGGGAGGCTGGGTGAGGCTTGGGAGTGTGGTCGATGGAGGCTGTGGAATGGCAGACTTGGTCAGTATTCATGGCACGGAAACTTGATTTCGAGAGGGGAATTGGCCAATTGATGCCGTATTAACATACAGGGAGTGGTGCGAGGCCCCAGGAAGCGGATGGAAGGGGTGCGCTGGGCGTGGACAGCAGCCTGTCGGAGAGCTCGAGTCGCGTACATTGTGCTTGTGTGGGAGGACTCTTTCAACGCGGCAGGGTGTTGAGTGAAATTAATGGCGAGAAAGAGTGCCGTTGGGGAGAATGCGCCAGGCAGTGAGAATTAACCCGAGGAAGGCTGCTGATGAAGCTTTGTGCGACCAAGGATTCTTCAGAGCTGCAAGGCTGGGGTGAGTCGCGGGAGGTGCACTTTTTGACGCAACCTGGTGCACGGACGAACAGTGGGCAGGCTGGGCGGCGGGCGTTTGCGGAACGAATTACCAGGATTAGGCAGGTCCTCCACCACAGGCGCTGCTTGGGTGAGTGGTGACTATCGATAAGCCGCAAGCAGCCGAGTGTGGGAATAGGAAATGTAGACCGGAGCAATTGGGGGGAAAAAGGCAAGACAGTCCGGTCCGGGGTGCAGCAGCAGAGGTCAGGGAGGAGGATTTATATGGGAGAAAGACGCGACTACGTTATATGGGTCAAGAGGATTTTTTTAGTGTTTGCGACCATGAGAAAAGTAAAAGTAAAAAGTTCAGAATCAGGGGAAGCTTTGTTCTAGGCCTGGGAGGACTGTGGGAATAAATAGTAGGACAGAGTTAGAATGGTCGCACTCCGCACACTTTGGGATGGTTGCTTCAATTCTATCGACAGGCCACCACTTCAGTTAGGGAACTTCCCAACTGGCCAACAGCAGGCCTCCGTCACCCTACAACAACAAACTCAACAGGGTGCGGATGCTCATCTGCTCCTCCATCACCCAGGGCCCAGGCAACCAGGATGATAGATCCCCCCCTCCTTGCCTCTTTGCGCCGGCTGCCAGATAAGATGGCGGCCACCAATAATGAGCCAGGCAATGGCTCTCTAGTGCTGCCCCTCAACAAATAAAAATGACACGGCATTCGTATGGCTATGCAGCTTTAAACCCAAAACAGAGAAGCAGAGAGCGCCATGCCGATTTCGGACCCTCCGGTGCCGCCCATATTTTGCCGCTCTCTCCGGGTCCGGTCCGGGGTCCTTCTCCGGGCTCCAAGCTAGGGCTGGAAATGGTTTGGTTAGGCTAGGAGCACCTTTTCCTGCCTACCGAACGCCGTAATTATGTACTGTTCAACGCGCTGACCCAGGAGTTAGGAGTTAGGGTCGCGTCGTGGTTGTTGTGGGTGGTGGTGGTGGTCGTCGTCGTAGTGGAGGAGCTCCTCTCCACCCACCGGTTCGGTTCGCTCGCCGCTGTCAGCGTGTTCGGGCCTGTGTTGATGACCAACCAGGCAGCCAGGCACCAGACAGCAGCCAAGCTCCCGCCGAAAACTCCGCCATCAGGCCTGGCCTCCATCATCACTGGAAAAAGCACAGGCATCACGCCATCGCCCAGTGGTTCGATGATCATCAACACCGGAGCTCTGGATGGAGATGCGGCTGCTGTCTAGCTCTCTTCCTTTTTCCCTTTTGTTGCGGGTTAGGCTGGTTAGCGTTGCAGCCTCTGACGATGCGACGCAGCTAGCTTCACATTTGAATTTCGCGTTTCCTCCCTGCGACCGAGGCTTGTCTTTCCATTGACGCGGGGTAGAACGGCGAATCAGCGTTTCATGATAACATCTTAGAACTACGCGCCGTGTGATGAGCGTTGGGCATACCAGAATGAGTGTAGGCTGCAAGCTCCCCAGGATCTGTCCCCCTTCTCCCCATGCTCACTCCAACGTCTGGAGCCTGCCACATGGTGGGATTTCAATCAAGGGGCAGGGATCTCGTCATCTCACATGCAATCCCTTTCCCCCACCCTCGTGCAGGGAGCCTCCGCACTCGGATGCAGGGCGCTACCTAACGGGCAATTTCTAATCGACGGTTTGGCCCATACTCCGAAGCCGTGTGAGAGCCCTGATACCTCCTCGTCTTTGGGCAAAAATAGATGCGATAACCTGTGCTGTTGATACCCAAAGCTCCCAACTGGGATCAAATGCATCGTCAGGCGGTGACAAGACCCTGGAACATTTCGTGGTAGCAACCAGACAGGCCGTTTTTTCCAAGGCCCCTCAATCATATGATCCTGGACCTACCTCTCGGATGTATTCGGGATCCAGAGTTGCATAGACTGGGCATTGGGAAGATTTACATTTGCATCTGATGCCGACATGTGTTACTATGTGTTTAGTGTACAGGCAAGCTACTCTCATATTTTCTTCCTCTCTCAGATGAATCATCTTCCTCTTTTGGCGCCCTGCATCTCACCAATCTCCCCTCCCCCTCCCTCTCCCGCGGAAAGGGTCTATTCACGTAGGTAGGGTAGTATCATACACCCAACTATCCTTCGTTAGAGATCCTGTGCTAGTTTGCATTTGCGAACAAGCCTGGGACTTTTTCAATGGAAATTATCGGGGGTATTATCCAGAGCTGCCCATACAATAAGTAGATCGAAGAAATGAACCCAGACCACCTTGGGTTCGCATTCATCACAACGTTCAACACGGATCAGAGTGAAGTCCAATCGGGAATAGTATAGGTAATATAGATAATGCCCTGTCAATAGAATACGATGAAAGCTCCGCGGCTGGGGGCGCGCATACACACCCCCGCCCCCTGCAGATATTGCAACTGCACCACATCGCATCCGAATCTCCTACAAGCGAGTTTAGCCGTCTGTTAAATCACTGAGATGGAGTGCTTCCTGAGATTTGACTGCCTCCTTCAGGACCTTGCAAATCAGCCTCAGCTCATCAGGCTTGACTGTGTAGGGCGGCGCCAGCAGCACATGATCCCCCTTCATCCCATCCACGGTCCCGGAGCCAGGATAAATGGCTACTCCTCTTCGAAACGCCTCCTGTTGAACTCGGGCGCCGAAGCCAATCGCGGGGTCGAAAGTCTCCTTTGTCGCCTTGTCTCTGACAAACTCTACGCCCCAGAAGAGGCCTCGCCCGCGGATATCGCCTACTGTTTTACAGTCTTGGAGTTCTTCCCGAAGCATTCCTTCAAGAACAGGTCCCAACTCGGCACATCGCTCCACCAACCTGTCCTGCCTGATGATTTTCTGCACTGCAAGTGCAGTTGCGCACACGATGGGGTGGGCTTGGTACGTGTGCCCGTTGACGAATGAGCCACTTCCCTTACGAAGCGCATCAACCACCTTCTCGTGTATTAAGATCCCGGCAATGGGAGCGTAGCCCCCTCCTAGACCCTTTGCCAGAGTGAGGATATCCGGCGTGGCGTCCCCTTCCTGCTCAAACGCGAAGAACGTCCCGCACCGGCCCGCCCCGCACATGACCTCGTCGAGGATGAGTAGAATGCCGTACTTGTCGCATAGAGACCTCACGCCGGCCAGGTACCCTCGCGGCGGGGGCACGCAGCCGGCCGTAGCACCGACGACTGGTTCAGCCACAAAGGCAATGACGTTCCCGGGCCCTATCCTCTGGAATTCGTCGTCCAGCTCATCGAGTAGCCGCCTTGTGAACCCGTCCTCGTCCTCGCCGTCCAGCTTGTATCTGTATTCAAAGGCCGGGGTGACATGGGAAACATTCGGGTAGCCGAACCCTTGGTAAGGTAGTTTGCGGACGATGTTGCTCGACAGTGACATGGCAGCCATGCTGTTCCCGTGGTACGCCTGCCGCCTGGACACGAAGTGAACTCTCTGGGGCTCGCCCTTTTCGTAAAAGTACTGCCTGGCCAGTTTCACCGCCGACTCGATGGCTTCGCTCCCGCTCCCGACGAAGAACGCCTTCTCCAGCCCGTGGGGCCGGCCGTTCTCGACAAGGAGACCGGCAAGCTCCTCGGCTGCTGACGTGGTGTATGCTTGCGTGTGGACGTAGGCGACCTTCTGTGCCTGAGCGAGCATTGCTTCGAGGACTTGTTGGTTGTTGTGGCCCAGCGCCGAGACGGCGGCGCCGCCACAGGCGTCGAGGACTGTCCGCCCGTCAGCCAGGCGGATTTCCAGGCCGGAAGCAGATTCCACCATTTCCGGGCGATAAATCAATGATCGATGTAGAAGTTGACTTTCGGGGGTTTGTAGACCTTGTTTGGTCTCTTTTGAGGGTGCATGCTGGGCTTCTGTTCTAGCAGGTGCCATTGTTAGATGGTATAAATTCAGAAGATGTAAAGATGATATAGACGATATGAGTAGAAACCAACTCGTGGGATATTCTGTAGCTCTATTAATATATGGAAAAGATTCCTAGATTTTGATTCTCGAGAAAGCGGCGGTTGTGTTTGACTCCCGGATATGAATCTCAAAGCCGAAACCCGATGTCGCATTTCCAACCCCATCAACAAATCATGGACCAGCTACTCGGAGAGGATAAACAAGCAAGGATGGATGTGATGGAATTCCGGAATCAATTCTAAGCGCCATAGCCCCCAAGATCAAACCCAGAGTCTGCCGGTGCTGATGATAGCTCGACTTCGCCGAGAGGCCACCACTGAGACCACGGACCTTGCTCTTCCACATTGCTGCTCACCTCCGCAAGTAGCTGACTGAGCAAGAAATTCGTATCCGGCGATAAGTCGTCTGTACAGATGCCGCCACTCTCGGGAACTGTCTGTTCCGGCCCGGTCGCTGCCTGGTCCATCTCCTGATTCTGCTGCTTCGACCGATCAACGACTCGGAATTCGTTGACCGACTGGTGGAAGTGCTCAAAGTCTGCGCGCGTTCTACCACGATATGTGCTTGTAGTAGACGCTCGCGCATAGAGGAGAGAAGTATGGTGCAGGGTTTTGATCTGGGGCAAAGTGTGAGTTAGCCATCGTCTCGTTGGAAAGGGGGTTGAAGTCACAGCCTCAAAATATCAGGCCTCACCCATCCATCAGCTATTTTCCAGACACCCCGGAACTCCTCGAGATAGGAAAGGCAGATATTCTCGTATTTCTCCGCATCGGGACTGCGGCCTAGATTCATTTTCGGAAAATGGTGGACATAGATCAGGATGAATGCGGCGGAGAAGGCGCAAAAGCCGACAAAGGGCGTCATGAGCTGTGTGCCACACTCGGAAGCTTCATGGAGCAACTTGGCAATATTTTCCGCGGATTGAACTATCTGGGCCACACTGTCTTCCCACCAATTCTCGGGCGCCGTGGCCTCCAGCCTCGGAGGATCGATGGGCCCGACAGGAGTAGATTCTGGGGTGGGCAGGAAAGGAGCGTATTCTCGATGAAGCAGCAAGACACTATCGGGAGAGTATGTGAGTTATGTCTCGAAAGACAGTTCAAGGAATTTGCAAGCACATGAGTCTCAAAGGGGTTATTGATCTATGGCTTACCTGACGTAGTACAACAGGTTGACGTATGTAAACGTTTCTCCATATCCCAAGGCCATATGCATGGCTACAGAGGTGGTAGGATAAAGCAAATTACGATGCTGACCGGCCCTCCAGGCCAACAAACGCCCCCAGGTTATGGACCAAGGCGAGCCGGGCACCCAGGGACAGTTATGTGGTGCACACATTCCCGGGGCTTTGCGTCCATCATTGAACAGAAACTCCATGACCTTGGCCCAAATGTCAAACCCGCCAACAAGAACTTCGAAACTTTGAGCCACATCGAGAGTCCCACTGGAAAACGATTGAACGGCGGGTGTTGATGGCTCGGGAACAAAGGGCGGACGCTCACTCAAGCTCGTATCTGCGGCATCTGGGCCAAATGTGAAGTCGACCGCGTTGAGGGGTCTCGGTATCTTGAGCTTGGTCATCTCTGGCATGGGCAGCATGGGTGGATTGTAGGTTCCAGAGTTGACCATGCAGTCCATGATGAAGCAACCCCAGTAGGTCCGTGTCTCGATGGCAACGGCGGTGGGATTGCGGCTTTCACGCTCACCGGACGGGTCAAGAGCGCATGGGGCGACACCCATGCTGTGGAGAGCTTGCATGATGCGGATAGCGATTCCTTCATATTCGAGTGCGGTTCTTAGCCAACTACACACTCTCACACTCGTGCAATACGGCATGGCTGGACTGGGACGATGAACAAGTAGGAACACTTACCGCAATAGACCCACGCCTTGTGGAAATCTCTCGATCCCCACTCATGAAGCGTGATGATGAGCAACGCTTGTACAACTTGAATTTTAGGAGGGGATAGGATCAGATCGGAGAGAAGAGACCTGGAGTACAGGGCGTAATCCTCCCTTTCGAGAAGCTGGCTGGCCCATGGTGCACCCACCAGGGAAGCCTGTGCTCTTGTGACGGCAAGCACCGTCCCGATCAACGCATTGAGCTCCTCTGGTCGAGAAGAGGCTGGCTCTAAACCGGCGAGAATGGTTGGTGTGTGAAGAATAGACAGCTCAGGGAACTTGTTTGAGAAAAGATGGAGCGATTTGAGGATCACTGATCTGGGAAGACTGAGAACATGTCGACCGACATCCTCCGCGCCATCTCCTGGGCTCGAAGTTCCCTTTTGTGATTGTGGTTGGGTTTCCTCCTGTCCCCGAGAGGAATATCGAGGCTGTGATGGTGATACATGAGCCCTGCGTTGCGAAGGCCTCTTGGCCACTGAGCCAGCAGGGGAATTTCTGGGCCGCTGGCTGGATGATGGAATCTGTGGCCGTATCAAGGTGCAGCCTGTTATTTTGTTCTTGCTGCACCTTCTACAGGGAGGACTACCAGAATGAACACACTTCACCTTGGCTCGTCTATAAGTCCTTGCAATTAGTCACTTTGACGCGAACCTTGACCATTGGGTAACACGATTGGCTAGCTAGCAATAGCTAGCCGCTCTTAAAGCATACCTGCATATGTCGCATGATAGACTGGATCGCATGTTGCGAGTGGAACCAAACCCTCGACCCTGGTTTAGATGAACTGTGTTGCCGTGGGTGGATTGTTTGAAGTGTCTCGGGTTTCGGTTTTGATTATGCTTCGATGACCACTTAATCACGAATATCAGCTTACCTTTGGAATTCTTGCAGGGGCTGTGATAAGATCGCTAGTCCGATTCTAGCCGGTCAGCGGGGAGGAAAGCTGTAGCCAAGGATTACTGGTTGTTTAGTTGTGTTGATTTCCCTCTGAAAAAAAATAGTTTCTGTCCTCATCATTATCTAAAGGCATCGTGTAGCTGGTCATAATAAATTGTGTTTTCTTCACATCGCAAGCATCGATGTCACCACCCTGGCAGCTGCTAGCTGGGAAGAGTAGAGCGGAAACACTGCTCATGTAAGAACTGGATGATCATAAAATCGTGTCTAATTCAGCATTCTCAGCCTGGTATCTATGGATAACATCGTAATCTAAATATATTGCACTGAACAAGTAGAAAATTCATTAAACATGCTCGCTTCTCTATGCACACCGTGTTTCCCAAGCAGAGAGAAAGAAGACGCATACAAGTTTGGAAAAACACGATACAGAACAAGACTCACACCATGTACATCATATACAATCAATCTTCCGTGGCGACAGCATCCTTGATGATCTGTAGGCACTCACTGGGATCAGTGAAGACGTGCCATGCCTCTCTGGGTATTCCTTCAAATGCTGTTTCGAATCGTTGTGGCTCGTTCTTCTCCTCAAGCCCAACAGCCGCAACGTCCTCAACTTTCCGGATGAGGATGAGCTTCACCCACCCTGGGAACAGGCGGTATCTAGGTTGACCTGCGTTAGCCAATTTTATTGCCTTGTAAAGATGAAAAACTATATCTGAACTTACATCTCGCCGTAAGCCTCAGGATCAGACTGAGTCGAATCACCAATTGCCACCATCTTGCGCTGAGGCAGCCATGAGTTGATCTTTTTCATCCGATCGGTCTTGTATTCTTCAGTGCCCACAGTCAATGCCGAGAGTAGCCCAGAGATGGTCTTCCAGCTGAAGTCTCTTAAGATGAGAGTACCATGAGGAAAGTACTGCTCGCGGAACTGTCTGAGGAAAGGGTATAAGTTGTACGGAGAGGCGGACAAGTAAAACCAAGGTGTGTCCTCGGGTAGATGCGACTTGATTTGCGCATACAACTCTGGCATCCCAGACACCGGCGTGGGCTCATCAGCAAATGTCTTCTCAACGATGCCGGTGGGATCGCTAGTTAATGTTACTTTGATGGTATCATCGATATCTATTCGACCTTGTTTAGCTTGGTCACGCTCTACAGATGGAACAAATTTCACATCTGTGTTGATGGGCGAACTCACCACTTATGATACCCCAGCCTTCAGGACCGGCGTAGACGGTCTTGGCTTCAAGCAAACCATTTGCGCCCCGCGGAACCACCGCCGAGGACTTGATAATACGTCCCGCGTCCGCGCTAGGGACTTTCAAGACCTCCGTAGAGATGCCGTTGATGTTCGTTGGGGTCATCTTGACAACTTTCCCCTGATTCTCCAACTTGACAATCCTGACCATTCGAATGTCCCATAGGAAAGGCAATATGCGCTCCTCGATTGTGTCTCTTTCGGTAGCATCATCTGCTAGCCCTACGGAATGCGCGATGTTGGATACCACATCAGCTACCTTGCAGTATGGGTCTCGTTCAAAGACGGCAGCGACATATTCAGCCTTCCATGGCTGGAAGCGTGAAGAGCGGAAGGCGGTGTTATCTAGGAGCCAGACGGTGTCATCCTTGGTAACGGCCTTTCCAAATGGATTGAGATCGCCGATCCTCTTGAAGATGCCACCGAGTCCAGATTGAGATGCTCGCGCCACCTCGTACTTGGGGGACTTGGGATCGGGCAGGGTGGCCTCGAACTCGTCAAACTTCTTCTCTTTGCGCGTACGGTTCTGCATTTCGCTGGCAGCTGCGGCTGGGTTCTTTGAAGCGGCCATCCTGAAAAGAATCACGCACAGAGGGGCCGTTCAGTATTTGTAATTTCGTCTTCTGGCTACGTGTGGGCGTGACGAGCTGGGCAAAGCAATACGCAGAAAAGAGAATCACTACGGAGTGGCAGGTGACAGGAAACAGCAGCCTTGAAGAACGAGGCAAGACTCTACGGTCAGCTGGTTGGGCTTCAGAGTAAGAGCGGCGTACGTGAGAGGCACGAGGAGCTGAGTGGCTGGAACTAAGGGGGCACAAAAGACAGGGGGCAAAAGGCAGCTGGGGAAGAGATTGTCAGACGCGCACACTGGCGCAAGCCGCTAAGGCTGATCATCGTCCGCGAAATGCGCCTTAGGCTCATAAGCTTCTTGGCCTTGTCGGTGTGGAAGGAGGGCTCTTGTGATGGAGGGGACGTGACTCCTTTCGAAGATCGTCGGAGGGGCTGATTGGAGGAGCTTTTGCTGGCAGTCTGATGTCAGATGGACCGGGCAGGTACCAACTTAAAATTACAGGCGGCAGCGCCTGGCTTTTGGGGCCGTGGCGCATCATGCTCGCGCCTTCCACGTTAGCACCGGCTGTGGCCGCCCGGAGATGCGGGGAGGAACGCCTGGAGTTCTATAGGCAGGTGCTAATTAATAAGGTATCCGGCGGGTTCGTAAGCTTCACATAATTTCTCTCTAGAGGGGGGAAATATGCGAAGCTTACGAACCCGCCGGATATGCAGCCATCCTAATTCAACATAACGTACCAGACCTCTGCTTCGCATTTTCGTGCCACTTCTGTTCAAGGTATTATGCACGTCGAATATTACTACATGCATATACCCACCTAGCTGATACGAACGCTTCACACCACTTCTTCCTGGCACTCTTTGGGTAGGACAGCCTTGCAGCTGGAGTGCCGTTGGAAATGCCGTTCGACTGGTAGCTCCTCCAATGAGAACCTGGCGAGGGTTGGATCTCAGAATTCCATTCTCCGTGGCTCCCCCTGCAGTCATTTAACTCCCGGTGATGCTTAACACTGTGGAGCCTCTACCGTGACCCAAAGCGAGGCCATACAGAGCATGTGTACGAATCCGAATGCCCCTGAAGAGCGAAAGCGAACCGGGATCAAAGATGTTTGAGGTTCCCATTCTAAATTTGGCTATATGTAACGTAAAGTAGAAGTACCCCGCTCACCTTGAGTCTCCCGTTGGCCTCGTTTGATAAAATCTCGCACGGCATGCCGGATACCGATGGGTATTGACTGGCTGCATGGGGTCAAGCACAGGCACAATATAATCTTACGAATACTAACCCGATAACGAAACAATTGAGAGAAGGAATGCAGGCCGCTGGGTCAGGCGTATATGTAAGCCCGTATGACCAACAGCCCATGGGTCTCCTGCATCTTGATGTTGGCCAACAGCATATATATAAAGTGACCCCGCAGTTGCTGTGAACACCGGCTGCCTCGATCTCTCCATCCTTCACAAGCATACCGCCCAATTCCTATCAGCTGTTTGTAAAACAATAGAAACCATGGGGTCTAACACTGGATCCGGTCCTGATCTTGCTTTCATCAGCCAAAAGTACGAGGAGGAGAAGCTCAAGCGCATCCGACCTGATGCCGGCTCTCAGTATGTGGATCTAGAACTCAGCTCGGCATCACATCTCCACGATTTGGTTGAAGATCCCTGGGTTGATCATGACGCTCTCAATGCCAAGGAGCCCAATCTCAAGGACGGAGACGATATCAAGTTCCTTCTCCTTGGTGGCGGCTTCTGTTCTCTTCAATTCGCCGTTTACTTCATCAAGGCTGGTTTTAAGCCTGAAGATATTCGCTTTGTTGACACGGCGGGAGGGTTTGGAGGAACATGGTACTGGAATAGGTACCCTGGCTTGATGTGTGATACCGAGAGCTCCATTTACTTGCCGTTCCTTGAGGAGACAGAATACAGGCCCACCCACCGTTATTCGTTTGGTCCAGACATTAGACTTCATGCGGAGCGAATCGCCGAGCAGTACAAGCTCTCGGATAAAGGAGTTTTCCGTTCCTATATGGAATCTTTTGCCTGGGACGACGAGAAGCGAAGATGGGTCGTTACAATCAAGCAGAATAGGGGCCCAAAGGAGGAGCCCGTTTCAATCAATGTCACAGCCCAGTTTGTCGTCCTCGCCAATGGTGTGCTCAACCACCCCAAAGCACCAAGGATCGATGGCTTTGAGACATTCCAGGGCAAGTCGATCCATACCGGCCGCTGGAGGTACGACATCAGTGGTGGCTCACCCACAGACTGGACGTTGTCTGGCCTCAAAGGCAAGAAGGTTGGGTTTATCGGCACGGGAGCGACAGGTGTGCAGTGTGCGACGGAGCTTTCTAAGTGGGCCGAGAAACTCTATGTCTTTCAACGAACGCCTGCCAGCGTGGATCACCGCGGCCAGAGAGAATTCAAACAGGAAGATTGGGACAAGATTGCCGCCAAGCCCGGCTGGTGGAGGGCCCGCAATAGTAACTTTGTTGGCCATCTCAACGGCGAAAAGCCAGGGGAAGACTTGGTGAATGATGCTTGGACAACGATTGATACATATAAGCTTCTCATCGGTGGGCCCCATGAGCCGGTGGCGATGGCTGACATCCCACAACACATCACTACAGCGTTGGTAACGGATGCCCCACGAGCCGAGAGAATTAGGAAACGTGTCGAGGAGACGGTGAAAGACGCGGAGACAGCCGAGAAACTCAAAGCTTGGTACCCGTCTTGGTGCAAGAGACCGTGTTTCCACGACGAATATCTCACCATATTTAATAAGCCCAATGTCGAGTTGGTTCAGACCGACCCCGAGGGCATCACCAAAGCTACGCCAAAGGGTCTCATCGTCGGCGGGAAGGAGTATGATGTAGATGTTTTGGTGTTTGGCACGGGCTATCGATCTCCGGCCTCCGATATGGCCGAGCCTAGTACGATGTGCAATGCTTCCATCGTTGGGAAGGATGGGACCAACATGCGTGAATCTTGGCTCGCCCAAGGACCCACGAC